GTAAATAACTGGGTAGTTTACGGCGTACTACTACCTCGGTGGTTCACGGTGGGTTGTTGTTCGATGTCGCATGTCCCGCCTGATGTAATTCTGCGAGGATCGGCCTCAAACCAAAGCTCACGCCGAAGGCTTGGCGTTGCCCCGGTCCGAGTGTGCACGTTCGTTCAGGGATTAGAGCTGTCTCTTGTCATAAATGACAGCGGAATTGCATGTCGGGCCTGTTAGCTGTATCTCGAGAGTACCATTCAGGTTACATCTGCGCCTTGATAATTCGATTGTTGGGTTGCATTGCGAGTCCTTGGCTACCCCGTACGCCAAAAGGTGACTGGTTTCTATTCTGGTACGTATGAAGCCGTATAGTTGCTGTCTCGGTTTTTCTGCAAAAATCCTCAATGCAAGAAACTTTTACAGCTGCACGGTTTCCACGTCTTGGCAATCTTGCATCGGGTCTCGACCCCACACGCCCTGTTGGTGCTGCGAAAGATATGAAAAAAAAAAAAAAAGAAAGGAGAAAAAGGACGAGTTGGAAGTTCGCATTGTCTGTCACTCACTCGGGGCACGCGAGTGGGCCATGTGACCACTTGCCGTTTCCATCCAGCCTCAAATTTGCACACCAGTGAGACAAGTGGATAGCCAGTGGAGACTGGCTCCGGGGGTTGATATTCCGCACATGGTAGAAAACAAAAAAGCCTTTTATTTCAGCAATCTTGATCAAGACTATCGATGTGGCAATAGCCGTCCTTGTACCCGGACCCTCCTCCACTGGCTCTCCGTTCCTCGGGTGACTGAGATGGCTATCGCCGGCGGAGTCACGGCCAACTTTTTCGGTGACGGGCTTGAACTGGAACCTGCCAGCCTGTCAAAAGTCATGCGCCTTGCATGCTGTGTTACTACACGCAATGCCCATCAGAAGCAGTTCATTTGAGGAAACTCCTCACGCGACACATGCCGCTGCCGCTGCCGCCGCCGACTTGGATGGACGTCTAGAGGCCGGACTCCCACCGAGTTGGCCTTCTTGTCTGCCTTTACTTCTTCTCTTCGCCCGCGCAGCCGTTGGCATGTAGGTATGAGAAACCTAGTTGGGCTGGGGAGGACGGCATACGTGCATTGTCACGGTACTGGTGGATTCGAGCCAGTACGATACTCCGTACGTACACCAACCCTTCAAAAAGGCCATGCGTCAACACGGGGATCTAGACCTCAGGGGGTCTTTGAACCACTTGGTCTACGGTTCCATCATCTGGAAAAGCGGCTGCTTTCTCGGCCCCTCTCCGGCGTGGTGATTTATCCTCAACAGGCAATGCTCCTTAGCGACTTACAGGAGTTGCTGTAATTAGGTCTAATGTAAGTCTTCCCAGCGCATAGTAGTAGATTGGATGGATGTGGACGTCAGGATACTCCGCACTTCCATCTGTAAACGGCGAGTTATGCCGAGACGGGACAGATGTCGCGAGGCGCAGAACTAAACATTCGGCAAGTTCCCTTTAGCCCTGACTGAAGGTTTCGGAGCCAGTCACTTCCCGACATGATGGGAGAGTGGCGTAGAGAATCTGCTCTAATTTCCATCCTGTGGGTGCCTCTTTCGCCGGCTACCGATATAGGGAAGAGTTCAAATGTTTCCAACACTTTTGTATGTAACTGATGACCCGCCACTATCAGCCAAGCAAGCAATGGGTGGCTGGCTCCAGGCGTGCAGTAGTCTGGGTGGTGGATATAAGGCATGTTGAACGGCCAGTCAAAAACGCCAATTGCTTGACAAACCAACGACACATTGGGTGGTCTCTCGTAGATCTCATGGTTAGATCGTCGAATTTGGACTGATGCAGTTTCACAGGCACGCGACAGACTGCCGTAACTGTAGCGGCTGACTAACCGGTTCGGCCATTGCTTGAGGTGTCGTACGTCACCGACATTGTTGCGACATCTCTCCTGAGAAGTCGAGCTATGATGCGAGATTTGACATGTCTCCTGCAAAGGCAGAAAGTAGGGGTTCTCGGTGGAGGGTATTCCACATAAATGGGCCACGGCCCCTTTGCCACGCAATCGCCGCTGATCTCGATACGCTGTATGAAGGGTCTTCTGGAATAATTTGACGGATCTTGTCGTCCATGGAGATACATGGCTTCGAACTCTCTCTCTCTTTCTCCTCAAATAAAGAATAAAGAATTAAGAAAAGGCAGAGAGAAGGAAAGCAAAGTGTAGAATAAAGAGGAATATGCAAAAGCGTCCAGATATGCCCCGCAAACTAATTATCCTGACGAGTCTTCATGATATATTGCGTAATGCTGTCGCACGCGGGGGGGCAAGCCAAGCTGTTGGCCGAGTCCGGGGAACACCTCGGACCAAAGACATCTTTTCAACACCCGAGGGAGCTACGAGAAACCTGGAAGCTGCCTGGTCAGATAAAGGCCCAACAACTTCCGCCTACGTATTATCTGCTTCCCAGTCCAAAATAAATAAATAAATAATAAGTTCCATAGGTCGAAGGCTCGCGGGGCGTCTTTTTCATCGTGTGATGCGGGGAAGATTTAGGTTGCGTTTGGCATGATCATACGCATACAAGCAGGAGTACTAGTTGCAAAACAACAGAGACTGTGTCAGTTCGTTTATGGGGCCATGTACGTGTCCGAATTCTTATCGTGGCCGTATGAAAGTGTTTGAGGCTAATTGGACGAGGTCATTGCAGGTGGTGGGAGCGTGGTCTTCATTGGGAGGCAACTCCCCCCTACGGCGTAAGGTTTCGGGATACGGTCTTTATCTGCTGCTGCAGATAACATTGCGTCGTCTCTTTGGCAGGGGTGGGCAGTGTAAGTGCCCACGAAGCCATGGGGGTGTTGATAGTTCGCACTTCTTGAAAAAGGAAGCTGCATCGTAGGGTCGTCTGATGGCTGCGGCGAGGCAATGGTCTGGACAATCAAAGATTCATCGATGGTGTCGTGTTTCTCCTCTGTAACTCCTGGTCAGAATCATCTGGTATTATTCGTATTGGTTCTTCTTTGCACTCTAAAATCATTAAATAAGGCTCGGGCATTACGAAACTAGGAGGTCTAGCGTTAGGGTCGGCGTTTCTAATGTGGGCAAAACCCTGTGGAGCTGGCATAGTTGGTCAACTAGTTACCAACCAAAAGTTGATTCTAGATTGGTGGCTGGTGGGGGCCACCACAAAAGGATTGATTAACTTAAGATAGATTGACCTGTTCGGCGGGTTTCTGTGGCTCTCTGTGGCTCTCCGCAGCCTGGAACTGGCACTGGCTTGCCGGGACCCTTGCTCACGATCGGTTGAACAACGGCATGGCCTTGGAACTCCACTGAAGAATTGATTGAGGCGCGAGTTTGCGAGGACATCGAGGATTGAAGGATACCAGACCAAAAATGACAGCAGGCCCGCCGTACCATTGGCAGCGGGTACGATGGAGCTCTGTGGTATGTTGGGACTCGTGGGTGGGAGGGATTGGTAATTGAGGCTGCACCGGTTGCTGGTTTAGAGGAAAGGGACATCTGGAGGAGGCAGAGGAAGACGAACTACTCCGAGGAAGGCACGTTCGGGGTGGGGGGCTGTCTATTTGCAGGAGAGTACTCCGTACAGAGCAGTTGACATGTATGCCCCCTTGTATTTCACTGTATATCTTGTACGGATGCCTACATACCTAGGTACTTAGCAGATAGGTTGGATGCCGAGCACGCTCTCCAGATTGCAACGAAGTCGGCCAGGAATTTCTGGGAATTTTCAACATATGTGACTTGGCTCCAGGAGCCAGAACAAGGGAACCCATATTGATATTGTGCCATACGTACATGCATTTGTACGGAGTATGTGTGTTGGTGTGCATGGCTGTACCTGCCCGCTTGAACCTCTCAGATGCATGAGCCGGCATGCTGGGCTGCTGGGGTTCCTGTGCTGGGGTCCTGTGCTGGGGGTCCTGTGCTGGGGTCCTGTGCTGGGGTCCTTCTCGTCCACGATGGTGCTCCACTCGACCCAAGCATCATGACAACGATAACCTTTTCCCTGCCCAGTCCCCAGTTTCCAGGCGGGCGCAGCCATACAGCGTCGTCGGTTGACTGTGGCGTTCAACCGGTCGACCAGACAGAGTCTAGACACTGGGCCCAGAGACGGACACTGGACAGAGCACCCTACGCATGTGTCTGGGACTATTGTCGTGACGCAGGACCTGGACCTTGACTGCTGAGGTGACGGAATGCCTTTCAGAGTGATGATGATGATGAGAGAGAGAAATTGCCTGGGGCTCCTTTGGCCCTCCGCCGCCTTCGGCGTGGCCATGCACGGTGCCGTGACCGTCTGCTATCATTGCCTTTGCCATGACCTGCCTAGGCTAAGTAGGTACCTGGTGGCCTAGTGCCTCGCGCTTAGTACCCAGTGCCCATTGCCTCCAGTCTGGTCCTCTGCCGGCAGTGTGCCGGTTCAGTCATCCTTATCATGACGGCCTCCGCCAACTTCCTCGCCACCCTCTTCTTTTCCGACTTGATCTCTTTATACATTTGATATATATCGCAGATTGTCTCTCGTCTTGCTTGCTCCCATACCAACTCATCCAGACCCTTCCTTTTACCTGCGACCATTCAGCGTCTTGCATTCCGGACCCTGCTGTTACCGCGCCGTCTTTTATTTTGCTGTCTCACCAACGGGCTCCCGAGAAACACCAGACCGAATTTGAACCATTGATTTGCCTGTTACGCCCATTGCCATCGAACATATATTCAGCACACGGGGCCGGCTCTTGGCTCTTGGCTCTTTGTCCCTTTTGAGATTGTCTGGTTCTTGCTGCTGCGCAGACAGGCTCCGGTTGCTCCGGTTCGACAACATTGGCGGCCATCGCAGCGAATTGCGGCGACCTGCATTTGCATCAGCTCTGACATCAACACTGGGCCCAACAGATAGCCACGGCTTGCTGGGTTCAAACTTTGTCCAACCACGCGGGATGCAATAACACAACCTTGCCCACCACAACAGTACTGGCCGCAATTACCAGTTAGCAAGAGGAATGAAATACGGGCAACAGTTGGAGCGCGAGTCTCTTCCAGAATGGAGCCTCTGTAAGTGCTGTTCCATACGTCCGTTCTTGCATCATTCAGCCTGTGCCGCCTCCGCCTCCGCCATTGAGCATCGCGGACTGCTACAACTCGGACTGCGACTGCGACTGCAATGTGCATCGTGCATCGCGGGTCGAGCCATGGCAAGTGCAGCCCTCGCAACTGCCTGAGCTGCCTGTGCCAACCACCTCCCCTCTCCCACCTTGCTACATCCATGACATGGTCGCCTTCAAACTTTCACCAAACTCTCACAGCCCTCCCTCCCATGTGTGGCCCCCTCCAACCCCAGAGTCTGCGCATTACTGTTGCAATTTCTGCCGATCGTTTCCTGTCGCACAATTCCTCCTATGCTGACACTACTGCCTCTTGTTGCGCCTCATTTAGACAATCTCGACTACAATTCTCTGAAACACGAGATCAAGGTACACACTACGCGGGACCAGGCCACCGCCATTGCTATTCCGGGGCATCAAGACGCTACCCTGAAGAAGTTCGAGGACAATCTGTATGGCGAATTATGCCGCCAGCATGATAGGGTGGACCTCTTCATCACCAGTAAGGCGGATGAAATTTCGAGGCGTTTAGGTGAGTCCCTTTCTTTGCTCGTGGTTGGAATTGGCGTACAAGCACCACGTACCGTTCATTTTGCTCATTGAGACTTTCTACCTCCTGTAGAACATCTCGCTAGTCAGATTCAGCGCTGGATTACCAAGTACTCTGAAGCAAACGACTCTACCATCTCGTTGAAACGGCAACGAAGGTTTGCCAGGTACGAACGGGAACTTTTACGTTGTGGCGAGGAAATCCATGGGTTGTCACGGTTTGCCAGTGCTCAAGTAGTCGCCTTTCGAAAGATACTTAAGAAGTACAAGGTATGGGTGCACAGTGTTTAACTAGCCTTTTTCTTTTTCGTGTACTTTGTCTACAGCAACTTCCCAACTAACACAGTATGCAAATACAGAAATGGACAGGATCAGTAACGTTGTCCGCTCGCTTCAATGGAAACATTCTTGGTGACCCAAAGAGCTTTACAAAACGCACATTCGAGCACCTCCAAAGCCGTCATGATGAAATACTCGCTACTCTACTGGCGGTAACTCCCCACTTCAGCGAACCTAGTTCGCCTGAATCTCATGGGCATGCGGCACCAGAACCAGCCTCACCCGAGCAGAGCCGCCCTCGGCATGTAGATTTCGAACCGCTTCCCGCTGCGAAAATTGACTCGCCGGTTAAGTACTGGAACGAGTATGATGATGGCAGCGAGGCAGGAGGGCCTGAAGAAGAATATGCCATTTATATCAACCCTGAAGAGGATACCGGGTTTCCTGGCTTTGCATATGTGAATGCCTTGTTGTCGTTGCCGTATGAAAAAGCAAAGCAATGGTTCAAATCTAGGCGGCCTAGCCACGAGACCCGACCTCTTCTTGCTTCAGAGCTGAGTAGCCAAGGCAGTTTGGGATACGCATCCACTGCCGTCAACACGGATTCGGAAGAGGAAGGGTATGCTAGTTCGGATGGATATCCTCAACTCGGTTATGCCACGCATTATGCTTTGCCAAGCATCAGCGAGCAGAAGATTCAAAGATATAGAGAAAAAGCACTCATGTGGGGCACCCTTGGTTGCTTCGTGGCGTCGTTTGCACTGCTTGGCATCGCCAGTGTGCTGATTCTAACTGGGAAACGCAAGCTTCGCGTTGAAGTTGATGCCGGTGTGACGGTAGGTGTTATGGTCAGTCTGTTCTGCGCCGGGTCGGGACTGGGCATGACGCTCTATCGCCGAGACCGGCTGTCCATCGCATACAAACTGACGGTGTCGAGTGCGTTTGTTGCATCGTGTATTCTGAATGGTATGCTCCTTGTTCTGGTCATGGGCAATGCGCCGTGAATTGCAGGAATTCGTTACATGTGTATGTTGAACAAGTTGGGCCTGTGTTTGGCGAGGGCCTTGATCTCATCCCTGTCATCTTTGCGATATACCGGCGTTTTGGAATTGGACGATGAAATTGGCACAGAGGCAGCCTTGGTCTCTTTTTTGTTGAGTCGGATATTGGATACTGCATCCTCCAGGCGTACATATGGAGGGGACTCTTTGGCTAAGGAGGCCATGAGTCCATGACGATTAATATCGATACCTTAGATGTACCGAAGGGTACGAGGATAAATACAAAGAAATTGAAGATGAATCTTTTCAAGGACCAGTTGGTTGATAGCTTGGGAGGGGATAACTCTCGACGGAGTAGACTTCAATAGACCTACCTACTAGGTCTAAGTAGGCAGACACCTAGGTAGTTATATATGTGCGTGTGTATGTTGTATGTATATATATTTCTTGATGATGTTGTCAGCAAGTCCAACTCCTCATCAAAGACACGCCGTGCCACGCCACGCCATCAAACAAACGTGCCGGGCTGACGAAAGCCCAGTGACAGCATTACGCATCGCCACGTACCGGCATTTGATTTCCCATATCACTACTCCGTACTCTGCAAACTACACGTCGACCCCAGCGGGTACTCCAGCCGACGAATTTCCCCCTCCCCCACAAAAAAAAAAAAAAAAAAAC